GGTTGAAAGCAGACTAAGGTGATATAGAGCTTCTGAATTGCTTCTGACACCCCCTTCTTTAATCAGACATGAAATTAATGTTTATCAAATCTGTGACAGAAAAAGACAGAGGTGTGTGGAGTCCAGCAGAAGCCCATCAGTCTTAGAGATGTCTGTTTCTGTGATGTCCTTCAGGCCCATGTTGACAGACACAACCTTGCAGTTCAGTAAATTATAAACAACTCTTTCTGTGGACCTCTAAGTACCTGAGTACTATTTAAACATTACAGAAAATCCAAAACATGTTTTAAATGAATGACCTTGCTTTTTGTATAACTAATTTTTTGATCAAGAAGTACCATAACAAAAATAGAAATGCTTTTGTTTAAAAAAAAATGATATCCCTATAGAATTAAAAAAAATATTCCATAGTTCAGAAGTGGCAGAATCAGGATTATTCACACAATTACAGTTTGATTCATTTTCTCATAATATTTATTTAAAAGACAGTAAATTTCTTTTTCCTGCTGTCTGAATCCCTTTGACTCCAACAATATGAGAATGAAGGAACAGAGATATGTAGAGGTTTATAGGCTGAGGAAATTAGCCCGCTTTCAAAATTTGACCAGATTTGTTTCCAACTACTACATAATTTTAGCAACACAGGAAGCACTTATGATCTGGCCTTAACACTAACACGTATCTGTAACAAGTAAGGCTCATGACAGTCAGGCACTTCTCAAAACAAAAGAAGAGATCTAAGACCAATAAAAGTAATTTTGATTGTAACTGCAGGCCTGAGGCACAAAATAAAGCAAAAACATTATAGAAAACTTGTTCCAACTTCAAAATGTCAGTCTCACTTACATGTACTTATTTGAATGCAAATGCAGACTGTTGACAATGATTATACCAAAATGCATCTAATACAAAACTGCTGAGGTACCAGTTGAAAGGTGAGAAACATTCACACTAACTAAAGATGCAATAAAACATCAAAATAATTTTCTTTAAAAAGAAAATAAAATATATTTAACAGTGTAATTTTCAAAAACTATATTTAAAGTTTATAAAGGTGGAAGAAACTTTAAAAAGCTTTTACTATGTTATGCTAAGGATCTTAACTTTGTTTTATGCTATGTTCAAATAAAACATTAAAAAGAAATTATCTTCTACATTTTTCGATGCCCACTAACTTTGTATTAAGGCCAGAAGGCATTTCTGCACTCTGTACCACTGTTTTGCACAAGCTAAGGAATGATGCCACTCATCCATCAGCTCACAATACACTGTGCCCAAGGCAAGGCACTGCTTTCAGACCTGGTGATTACCTTATAAATCTATACTGCTCCAATTCCAGATGTATTCTCCAAACTTTCAAAAGATAACTACAACTACATTGTATTTGTTGCAAATGCAAGGTCAAACCATTCTATGTTTCTATGAATGGCAATTGTCTCAGAATTTTAACACACATCCCACATTAAACTTGTAACTGTGGCTTTCAAGGCATAAGATGTGGGGAGCAGGTTGGAAAACTGACTGAAGAGTCAATAAAACTATTTCCTTTTTCTTTTTAAATCAATTTCATTATTGGTTAAGTCAGAAATAACTTATTTTAAAAGCTTATGAAGTGTGTTGGAAATATAGTAACGTTAATAAATATTCAATAATAGTATTATAAAATCATATATTGTATAATACCATATAAGTATGGAGCAGCAAGAAACATGGCTGCCTTCTGGATGGGTATAAATGACAGCATGGAAAGCATAGAGAGAGTTATTGCTGGAAAAATGTGCTATAGACCTTTTTAATTGGAAGTTTCCAAAAATATTTAAAAGATTTTATTCTACCACAAAGGGAATGAAAATTTAAATTCCTTGTTACTTTTTATTTTTTGCTAGCATTTATATCCTTTAAAAATATTTGTAGAAAAAAATAATGGTGGTACCTCCCACTGTACATTAAGGATGCATTTCTGAGAAGGGAGACAGTTATCAATTTGTCAGATAAAGCAATTTTTCCTCATGAGGATAAGCAGTAGAGCTACATGTAATAACTTACAAAAGATATATCTTTAAATATACACAGGCAAAGTATGAAGGATGAAGCAAGCAGGATGGAAAGGAAGCAGAAAATGATCAGGATTGTCACTTAAGCACTACTTCTAACTAATACCTGACAATCACCTTATTTTTACATCTTTCATCGTGACTGATTTGATTCACCTGAGGACAAAAATAAAGGTAGTGAAAGTGCAACTGCTCAGAAAACAGGCAGAAGACAACTGTCACAGGAGATATTTATCAGGCCTTCAGTTGCCTAGAAGTACCAGCTGAGATCTTGTGAAAATGTTATCCAGCCTTAAATACCAGCATCTACTTCAGCTGATGATCCTGCTCTCTGCCTTTTACTGCCTCATATGTATGCACATATATGATACATACATAAATTGTGTGTGTGCATCTACCTGCTGTAGCATTAATTCTTACAGGAAAATCTGCTTTTCTGTTAAACAAAGGTACTTCATTACTTACACTACTAAAGGCTAGAAAATAGAGCAATGACTGGCAAAGCAAATCTGAAACTATAAAGAAAGCAGCAACACCTATCAGAGTATTCCTCTCTGAGAAATGTGTGCATTAGAGAGGCTGACAAGTAAAATGAAATTTTGAAGCAAGAATCAATTTAATACAGGGTAAAAAATGGTGAAAGAAACCTGCTTGGATGAAGTGGTTTAAAGTGCCTAGTGGAGCACAGAAAGCTCATGAGTTTTGATAGAAAACAGTATATGTGCAGAACAATAAGCAAGAGCCAGCACAAGCAATGCCCTTTCCTCAGTTTCTAACATGCCACATATTTGCTTTGTTCTGCAGCAATGAAACATTGCACACTGCTGGGCTCCAGAATCTTAAAGAACAGTAGCAGCAATTACACTGGAAACTCTTGGATTGGTATCATCTCTCATCCTCACCTTCCACATTTCTGATTAATCATAAAACTGACTAGATACGACAAACAAGAGAAAACATAAAATTGTTATTTCACTGTCCCAGAATTTTAGCCTTTATATTTTTTTCCTTTTAACCTTCCCAATGTTTTGAAGACCAAAGACATCTGAGTTTTAGGTCACAAATACAATGGCTTCCAAATTTTTCCTTTTCTGGACACCATTTTTCTTTCATCTCCACTCATCCCAAAGGTTTCTAAACTACAAATATACTTCAGATTAGTGTTTCTATACTATGACATACATAGGAAACTGTAGAAATCCCTTGAAGGTAAGTTTCAGGCAAAAAAAGCTAATTTCAAAGCAATGAAATGAGTCCATGGCAGGGAAAAAATATTTTACCCACATCCTCCCTTTTCTATTTCTCCTTGATTTTTTTAAATAAATCTACTTTAGCCTCTTCTCCACAACAAAACTCAGAATTATGCTTAATATTAGTAGTGGCATGCTGGATGAAATAAAAGAGCATGATGAACCAGATAGTCCTCCTACACTCAAGTTAGTAAGTTTCTCTAAGTTAATACTCTTGTATATATGAATAAGTTCTCATCACAAGAATAATAAATTTCAGCTTTGTAAACTATTTCCCATACACATTTTTTAATAAATCCTGAAATATTTTTTGTTTCTTTTGTCCCCTTACTTTTTTTGCTGGATATAAGCAGAGTACTAATAATGAGATGAGATGAGATTGTAGGAATTATATTGCTATCTAGAAGAGGAAGCATAAATAGCACTTTTCCATTCTACATTCATTCTGTTCATCCAGCTTTGTCCTTACATTCAGAGCAGGCTTTTCTACTGTCACTTTCAGTTTCAGCAGTGATTACACATTATCTCTCTCTCTATTAAAACCATGATCTACTTGATTATGTGCCCTAGCTGAAAAGTACTGTGAAAACAGGAAGCAATTTAATAATTTCAATTACTAAAAGTTCCTACCAAACTTTTCTAATTTTGTAAACTCGGATTTTAGGTAGATGGTGTTGCAAAGTCACTCTGATAAAGTACCAGAGATTTTACTGTCACTCATTGATACTGGTTTGCTATTTATTGGTTACCACATTATTGTGACTGTATGCACCAAGATGTGTGCATGTACATCTCCTAATTGCTATTCACAGCCTCATACTGGATAACCACTGCAGTGGTCCTCATAATCATTGATTACATACTTACACATATTCTTGTCATGTGAAGGGTTTTTCTCTCCACTCACCATAAAATTGTTAAATATCTCAAAGCTGAGACTGCTAAAATATCACTCATCTGGATCAACAATTACTATACTTATAAATGTTCATATTGATAATACAACCAGTTCTTTTTTCTGTTTTTTGGACCAGGCAGAATGAGAAAAGGTAATCACATGGAACCATATGCAGTAACAGGTATACAAGTATCGTAAGATTTTAGAAAAATGATATTTCACTGACACAAACAGCATGAAATAAATATGCCAAAAAGTGTCTGCTAAAACAAAATCATCTCCATTTATACAATCCTATTTAAAAGGCCAAAAACCCACAAATTTTATTCATTTCTATGAATGTTCAAATTTTTAGCCTAGTAATATCTTTACTTTTTAAGGACAAATGAGGAACAGTAAGGTCAACCATTAGCAGGAACCTACAGTTTTTGTTTGTTGCTGTTTTTTTTGTTTGGTTGGTTTTCTTCGGTTGTTTTTTTAAAGGAAAAAGAAGGTAAGTGTTATTTTAATATATTAGCAACAATGTTGTTGTTCTGGATTTATTTGGAACTTAAAATAACATTCTGGATTTATTTGGAACTTATAATTCGCAGACCAAACTTTAAACTTCATAAAGATGGTTTTTATTGAAGAATTCTGAACTTATATCAGTGTACATAATCACTGTAATTACAGGATTAGTAATAATGCTTCAGCTGATTAACCAATACTGCTACAAGGAGTTTGAAGAGCAGTGTACCTATGAAAAGGTACAAATACACACACACAGAGAACAGTATTTGGAAGGAGTAAGCATACCTGTGTTCGCAGAATTTCGCCTTTTGACAGCTGCATATCACCAGTCAGCTCTTTCACAGTAATGCCAAGTGGCTCCAGACGCTTGCTGAAGTAATTTGTCATTTCGGCTGCCAAAGCCTTCATAGGAGCAACATACACAATCTGCACCAAAAAAACACTCATTTGATAAATGAGCAAACCCCACAATGTCGTTTGTTTCATGGCAACCATTACAAATCACAATTTATTGTGAAATATGATGCCAGGCACTTACAGTGAAAAATCTTAATAGTGATATATGAAAAGTAGTTATCTTTGTTGGATAACTGTGCAGCTGTTTAAAGGACAATGGATTTTGTTTATACAGCCTCATCGCTTTGAAAATTGGTTCTGCATGAAAGCTAAATGCATTTTCATAGCTTTTTATTCACATTATAAGATTTTTAGAACACAAATAAGAATAGCTTTAATAACAATGAAGTAAATCAAAACTAGCCTTATCTTTAACTTGGAAAAGTCTAATATCCTTGAGAACTTCCTGGTTTCATATTCCATGTACAGCATATAATAGATTTTACCTTACAAGTTTAAAAGCTGTTATTTGCTTCATTAAACTTCTACCTTAAACTCATCCTTTTTGATAACACCATGCTGGACATGCTGGCGAATTTCATGCAGGATTGTCAGCATGGCAATGTTAGTCTTCCCAGCTCCAGTGGGGGCACAGATCAGCATGTTCTCGTTTGTGTTGTAGGCAGTCTCAAAAACTATTGACTGGATTCTGTTCAGCCTTTTCATGCCTTTAAAAGCAAGTTGTCCAATCTGTTGAAACAAAAACCACACATATCTTGTCACAGATGTTTGTACATGTGTTTGTGTAGCTATGCATATTAAAAGAACACATGGAAACATACCTACGGATACCTGTTGTAATATATTTATTATTCCAGGCTGTTTTTTGTTTATTCTGAGGGTATCACTTCTACTCAACCCTCAAACAGGGAATCAATAAAGAAAACAAATCATAGCAGGATAACATCTGCTAAAATTAATCAAAATCTTTAGCCTCACACTATTTCACCACCTAATTTTTTTACTGAAGAGTGGCACCAAAACTAATACTAAAACAGGGAACTTTTAGTAACTAAACATCAGTAAAACAACATTAACAGGAAAAGACCAATATACACCTCAAAATCTAAGATGAAAAACTACTGGAAGAGGAGGCAGCAAAACAACAGAACTCAATAAAGTTCAATTTTGCAAACACAGGCACACAAATTCAGTAAAAGCTTTCTCTTGCATCTCAAAAGATCTCCATCTTGCAATTGTCCCTGTTCAGACCTTTCTCCAACAATATTCACAACAAGCTGCAGTACCAAAAGGAACATAAAATTTGTATGTGTAGTCCAAAAAAAACCTTAGAGAATGTTTTGAAAAACTAAATTTTATACTTGATACAGGAAATTATGCTTATAAGAATTTAATGCATGTTTAAATCTTATAAAGTACAAATCATCAGTTACAGTAATACTTTGGTCCCATTGGTCTCTCTGAAAAATTACATTTTTACTAGGAAAGAACCACTGTACAGAGACAGTGGCAATTCTTGCATTTGAAGATTATAAAACCTTCGCAAATGAGGAACAGCCCTTAAAATATGAAATTAATTTTCCAATAAACTTACTTTTTCTTAGTTACTTTTCACAGATGTTTAAAATAGACTGCAGAGTACATAATTATTTTCTTTCTACAGATTTAATTACCTGCACTGCTTCTATTACAAAGAATGAAAAGTATCTTACTGATATATTTGAAGATTCTAATTTTTGCTTTACTTGTAGGAACAGAAGTACAGTAAAGAATAGACCTCAAAGAATCTTCTGAAGTTCTTTTCCATTATTCTAGGTGCTTGAATTAATGTACAGTGGTTTTCTATGGTAAAAGCCTCTCCAATACAAAATATTCTTCCCAATTCATTCCAATACTAACCAATTATTTGAGCAGGGCTTCCCCAAGTAATGCAAGCTTAGGAATGAGGGCCTCAACAGCTATTTACATCAAATACTTCACTTAATTTTGCAACATACAAAATTAGGTCTATCATTATGGTGCAGCTTCCTTCTTCTAGCCTCATGTGAGGGCCCATGATACAAATTACAAATTTAGATTAATAGACCATTTTCACAAAAAATGAAAATGCTCTACTTTTAAATCTATAGGAATGATGTACTTAATGACTAAACAACTGTAGTTTTATTTTAGATGGCTTTGAACATGAATGAACAACATTCACTGATATAGAAGTCAATGCAAATGCTATGCAATCAACACACTTATTTTTTGAAAAATGTCCTTTTCAATTTAACAATGCCTTTGTCTTAGAGCTTTTGGCTTGACAACTTCCTATGCCCCACTGAAAGAGCAAGTACCATTGAAATCATGACGTTCATTTCTATTTGTTGGATTTAAAAAAATCTCAAATATATCCAAACATCTATTTTAAACCATTGTCTTTGGTGAAGAAAAATAAAGAATCTAACACAACTAATTTGAGAACTTTTCATCAAGTTTCTTCAGATTTTTAGTGGCTGAATTTCAAGATCACAACAATTTTCACTGTTACTGTTTTTGCACTGTTTGCTCTGCTTGCAACACCACAGGAAGAAAGCTTATTTCTTTGGCACCAAGTTTCATATACATAATGTGTACTTTGTATGTCATCTTCAAAATTCATTTCATCTTCCTGAATGACACTCAAAATATTAAAGGTTTCTGGGAGACCTGTTGAATATCTCAGTGCTGTCAGGGTTTAATCAGCTACTTGTATAGCCTCCTTAGTCATTTTAGGTTTATAACTTGCCTGTTACTTCATTTTGAGATTTCTTGACAGGTATTTGTAATTGGTTGTGTTTTTCCTGTGCCCTCCCATTCCATCGAGTTGCTTTTAGAAGCTATTGTAAACACTGCATAAAGTTCACACTGATGAAACCATTTAGAGTGTTTATAACAAAGGATCTACAGAGAGAAACTCACAAATACAACTGGTAATTACAGAATTGAACTAATAAAATACTACATCACACAATATTACATTATTTAAAGAAGCAGTTTTTAAAAAAAGCAGAAACATTGCTGTCTAAATGAAGCCCAGCCTAAGTATCTTTAGAAATGGATGACAGGAATTTTTCACAGTCACCCAGCTGAATTTCTGTGGCTTTACACATACAGATCACCTTACAGCAGTGTGATTGTTGATACCCTTAAATATATCTTAAGTTTTTTTAAACTACTGCCCATAAAAATATGCTGTTCCAGCTTCTCTTAAACTTTAAGTGCGCAGCATAAAACATCTTTTTCCTTTCCTCTACATTTGGCAGAAATTACATATACTATATCCCTAGGACATGCAATTGTAAGCAAAAATAAAAACATATTTAGAAAAATAAAAATAATTTCCTGCCTCTCTTCCTGTTGGAAAATTTTAACACCATGGATTAAGACTGTCTTGGTAAGCAGCAATAAAAAACCAGATGTTCCAGGAAAAAATAGAGGAAGCTGCATAGCAAGTTAGAAAAATTAACTTCAGCTTGTTTTCTAGAAAGGTGCTAAGCCTATTGAAACACGGATACTAATAGCAGAATAAAGATTAACCAAAAAAAAAACCAAAACCAAAACCAAACAAAAACAACACACACACAAACACACACAAAACCCCCAAAAAAACAACCCAAAATCAAAAAAAAAGCCTGGTTAAGAAATAGAAGTACTTTTTTAAAATAATGGTGTTCTGAACTAGAACCTAATTTTTTATTCAACACACCAATTAATTTTCAAGCCAACACTCACAAATCAATATACAACATTTAGAATCACAAAACAGTCAATGAATGATCTTTGAAAGTTCACTCTGCAGGAATATACTAAGGATTAAAAAAGCTACAAGAGAAAGTACCTCCAGAGGAAAAAATATCTTAAGACATCTTCAAACTAATTCCCCATTACCTTAAAAAATATTGTCTTTCCTCTAATTTCCATTTTATTCCATGCAGTAAGTACAAATGCATAATTTGAAACCAGTAGTTTTGCCCTTATAAAATAGTAAGGCAGCATACAGAAATGTAACAGTATGCATGGAAGTCCACACTTTGACAAAGGTACTAGAAGATTTGCTTTTTTAAATTGTCATTTGCACATACTACATATTTTTAAAATGGAAAACAATTTTTTCCCCTCTGGCACATAAACATCAGCCATGGTTTCTACAGACCAACTCCTTTTCAGATATCCAGTGAAACCTCTTCTTGCTTAAAGGACTGGTAGCCACTGGATGGCAGAAAGTGATTTTTACCGAAAATGAATGAGATGCAACATTTTTAGCCTTGCACAGCTGATTTATCCCTAGAATTCAACACAAACCATAGGAAGTTTGAGTAGAATACAATCTGAATGTTACTCTCAACTAACAGGATTTCAAGCCTGAGATGATGCCATTTTTACACAAGTATGAATCAATATGAAAAGCCACCGAGAAGCAACGCTTTCCACAAACCAGATGATACTCAAAGCAGCTGTGACGTGAATGAATAAATCCTCTGATTTTACTTCAGTAAGCTTTCCAATCCTTTCCCACTGAATTTATTGTTACAACTAATGCATTTATGAATAAATAAGATTACACTTAATCAAGATATTCTAAACCAGAAATTTCATCAGAAAGATATTTGTGTGTTGGTGTTCTGACAGCAATTTAAAAATAGGACAAATTTGTTTAAGTCATTAAAGTAATATTCATGAACTAATCCATACAGTTCAGTCTGCAGGCAGGCTTCAGCTCAGAAACACAACTGCTTTAGCAACTCAGTAGTGGCAGCATCTGCTCTGAATAGCACAGACCATCAGCACTTAAGATAGAGTTTTAGTCATGCAATTCATCACCAAGACCTTGTAGAAATGCTCTGTAATGATGACTTCTTCTGTCATATTATAACAAAGTAATAAGATTACAACCCATTTATCTTAGAGATAATCCATTGCACCCATAAGCCAAGGCTGAGCTTTCAGTATTTTCCCTACTCATTGGCTTAATTTTAATGTAGAACTATTTTATGCAAAGTACCTTAAGTATCTCAGGTGAAACAAATCCCATTTTGCAGTCAGCTGTTCTACTACACTTTCAGTTATAAAGCTAATTGGTCTAACTGGTAATAGTATGACTAATCCATGCTTTTTCACATAAAACCCATGAAATTCAGGATGTGAAGCTCTGATGTTCCTTGTTCTGACACAAAAATAATCTCTAGGTCATCCTTCCCCTCCACTGTCCCCTAAAATGTTGTTAGTTAAAACACATATCTATGCATATACACTCATATGCACACACAAACACGTGCTTTTATATGTATGTATATACACATACACATTTTAATACATCCCCCCATCCTTCTGAATTATGAATAATTAGTTGTTCCCCTCTGCTTTCTAATTATGCATCTATACACTTAAAGCACTTTTGTGCCAGTGTAAATCCTATTTTGTTATTGAAGGTACACCCAGAAATTAACATAGATGTTATACCTGGGGACTTCCACAGCTTCCCTCTCCTGATGATACTTTTCATATTCTGCTACTTCCATGAAAAAGTGGTAGCTCGTGAGATTTAGGAAGAGAAATAAACAAACATGTAACTATGTAAATAACATAAAAGTAAAATTATTTTTTCTATTATCTTAGGAGAACTATTTGAGAATCTAATTTCCTGCCTGCCCCAAAGACTGAAATGTTGTCTTTCAAAGTGTGCATATACATTTTAAGCAAAGGCT